GCGGAAGGTGCTTATGGGGCAGGGTGGTGCCTATGGGGTGTTGTTATGGGGCGGAGGGCTCTCTGTAGGGCAAGGGGGTCACTATGGGGTGTCGCTGTGGGGCAGGGGGTTCTCTATGGGGTGTTGCTATGGGGCAGAGGGCTCTCTATGGGGCAGGGGGTTCCCTATGGGGTGTTGCTATGGGGCAGAGGGCTCTCTATGGGGTGATGGGGCAGACGGCTCCCTATGGGGCAGAGGGCTCTCTATGGGGCAGGAAGGTCCCTATGGGGTGTCGCTATGGGGCAGAGGGCTCTCTATGGGGCAGGAAGGTCCCTATGGGGTGTCGCTATGGGGCAGAGGGCTCCCTATGGGGCAGAGGGCTCTCTATGGGGCAGGAAGGTCCCTATGGGGTATCGCTATGGGGCAGAGGGCTCTCTATGGGGTAGAGGGCTCTCTATGGGGCAGGAAGGTCCCTATGGGGTGTCGCTATGGGGCAGAGGGCTCCCTATGGGGCAGGAAGGTCGCTATGGGGCAGAGGGCTCTCTATGGGGCGGGATGGTCCCTATGGGGTGTCGCTATGGGGCAGAGGGCTCCCTATGGGGCGGGATGGTCCCTATGGGGTGTTGCTATGGGGCAGAGGGCTCCCTATGGGGCAGAGGGCTCTCTATGGGGCAGGAAGGTCCCTATGGGGTGTCGCTATGGGGTAGAGGGCTCGCTATGGGGCAGAGGGCTTTCTATGGGGCAGGAAGGTCCGTATGGGTTGTCGCTATGGGGCAGAGAGCTCTCTATGGGGCAGGAAGGTCCCTATGGGGTGTCGCTATGGGGCAGAGGGCTCTCTATGGGGCAGGAAGGTCCCTATGGGGTGTCGCTATGGGGCAGAGGGCTCCCTATGGGGCGCTCCCAGCCAATGGCCCTGCCCCATAGGAGCGCGTGGACCCGGAAGCGGCCAATAACCCGGACCTGCACCTCAACCGTGCCACCGTGAGTCAGCCAATGGGGCGCAGGGGGGCGGGGCTTGGGTGCTTGAAGCGTCCAATGGGGTGCAAGGACCCAGCTTGGGGGGGCGTGGCCTCCCTAAAACATTCCTATTGGCTCCTTAAGGGCCTATGGGGGGAGAGGGGGGGGGAGTATTTCCATATAAGGCAGTCCAAGGGGCGTGGCCACCACCGCAGCCACCCAATAGGATCGCTCGTTGTCCTCCGGGGGGGGGCGTGGCCAATGTATGTGGGTGGCCAGCCAATGAGAGCGCAGGCCGGAAGCGCGGCAGCCAATGGGGGTGAAGGTGCTTTGACATCCGCGCCAGCAGGGGGCGCCATAATGCGGGCGCTGGCTCAGGAGCACCGGGGGCGAGTCTTAGCCAATGGGAAGCGGCGTTAAAGGAAAGGGATTGCAGCCAATCAGGAGCGGGCTCTGAAGGGGGCGGCAGCCAATGGGGTGGAGGCGCTTTGACATCCGCGCCAGCAGGGGGCGCCATAATGCGGGTGCTGGCTCAGGAGCACCAGGGGGAGTCTTAGCCAATGGGAAGAAAGGGATTGCAGCCAATCAGGAGCGGGCTCTGAAGGGAGCGGCAGCCAATGGGGTGAAGGCGCTTTGACATCCGCGCCAGCAGGGGGCGCCATAATGCGGGCGCTGGCTCAGGAGCGCGGGGGGGAGTCTTAGCCAATGGGAAGCGGCGTTAAAGGGGATGGAAAGGGGTTGCAGCCAATCAGGAGCGAGCTCTGAAGGGAGCGGCAGCCAATGGGGTGAAGGCGCTTTGACATCCGCGCCAGCAGGGGGCGCCATAATGCGGGCGCTGGCTCAGGAGCGCCGGGGGGAGTCTTAGCCAATGGGAAGAAAGGGATTGCAGCCAATCAGGAGCGAGCTCTGAAGGGGGCGGCAGCCAATGGGGTGGAGGCGCTTTGACATCCGCGCCAGCAGGGGGCGCCATAATGCGGGTGCTGGCTCAGGAGCGCGGGGGCGAGTCTTAGCCAATGGGAAGCGGCGTTAAAGGAGGAAGGAAAGGGGTTGCAGCCAATCAGGAGCGAGCTCTGAAGGGGGCGGCAGCCAATGGGAGGCGCCGTTCCAGCTGCTGCAGTACGAGGAGCGCTATGGGGCGGCGCTGGAGGGGCTGAGCCGGGCGGGGGCCCTGGCGCCAGGGTGGGCGGAGCCTCGGCGTCGCCACGCCCAGCTCGTGGACTTCCTGTCCCGCCTCTGCGCAGCGCTGGCCAATCGGGTGAGAGGGGCGGGGTTGATGCTGGGGGGGGGGGGTGGCAATGGAGGGCAATGGGGTTCAATGGGGCTCTATGGGTTCAATGGGGATCTGTGGGGGTCAGTGGGGCTCAGTGGGGCTCAATGGGTTCAATGGGGCTCAATGGGTTCAATGGGGCTCTGTGGGTTCAATGGGGATCAATAGGGTTCAATGGGGCTCAATGGCTTCTATGGGGCTCAATGGGTTCTATGGGGCTCTGTGGGGTTCAATGGGGTTCAGTGGGGATCAATGAGGGTCAGTGGGGATCAATGGGTTCAATGGGGCTCTGTGGGGTTCAATGGGACTCAGTGGGGCTCAATGGGGGTCAATGGGGTTCAGTGGGGCTCAATGGGGTTCAATGGGGCTCTGTGGGGATCAATGGGGGTCAATGGGGTTCAGTGGGGATCAATGGGACTCAGTGGGTCTCAATGGATTCCATGGGGTTCAGTGGGGGTCAATGAGGTTCAGTGGGGCTCTGTGGGGTTCAATGGGGCTCAGTGGGTTCAATGGGGCTCTGTGGGGTTCAATGGGGGTCAATGGGGTTCAGTGGGGATCAATGGGACTCAGTGGGGCTCAATGGATTCCATGGGGCTCAATGGGGGTCAATGGGGTTCAGTGGGGTTCAATGGGGCTCTGTGGGGATCAATGGGGTTCAATGGGGCTCAGTGGGTTCAATGGGGCTCAATGGGTTCTATGGGTCTCAATGGGGTTCTATGGGGCTCAATGGGGTTCTATGGGGCTCAATGGGGTTCTATGGGGCTCAATGGGGTCAGTGGGACTCAATGGGGTTCTATGGGGCTCAATGGGGGTCATGGGGTTCTATGGGTCTCAATGGGGGTCAATGGGACTCAATGTGGTTCTGTGGGTCTCAATGGGGTTCTATGGGGCTCAGTGGGGGTCAATGGGACTCAATGGATTCTATGGGGCTCAATGGGGGTCAATGGGACTCAATGGATTCTATGGGGCTCAATGGGGTTCTATGGGGCTCAATGGGGTTCTATGGGACTCAATGGGGGTCAGTGGGACTCAATGGAGTTCTATGGGGCTCAATGGGGTCAATGGGGCTCAATGGGGTTCTATGGGGCTCAATGGGGGTCAATGGGACTCAATGGATTCTATGGGGCTCAATGGGGGTCAATGGGACTCAATGGATTCTATGGGGCTCAATGGGGTTCTATGGGGCTCAATGGGGTTCTATGGGACTCAATGGGGGTCAATGGGGCTCAATGGGGTTCTATGGGGCTCAATGGAGTTCTATGGGGCTCAATGGGGTTCTATGGGTCTCAATGGGGTTCTGTGGGGCTCAATGGGGTTCTGTGGGTCTCAATGGGGTTCTATGGGGCTCAGTGGGGTTCTATGGGGCTCAATGGGGGTCAATGGGACTCAATGGGGTTCTATGGGGCTCAATGGGGTTCTATGGGTCTCAGTGGGGTTCTGTGGGTCTCAATGGGGTTCTATGGGTCTCAATGGGGTTCTATGGGGCTCAATGGGGTTCTATGGGGCTCAATGGGGTTCTATGGGGCTCAATGGGGTTCTATGGGTCTCACTGGGTCTCTCTCTCTCCCCTCCCCCTCCATTCCCAGCCCCCTTCCCGTGGGAAGCGGCGCCGGAGCCGCCCGGACCCCCCCCAAGCCCCGCCCCCTTCCCCCCCCTCCCCCCCGCTGCCCCCTTCCCTAAGCCCCGCCCCCTTAAGCGAGCTCCGCCCTGGGCCCAACCCCCGCCGCGCTCTGATTGGCCGCGTCCTCTTCACCTGCGCCCCGGAGGGGCGGGTCCCATAGTAAGCCCCGCCCCCTTTTACCCCCCCCCCCCACGTGACCCATTCCCCCCCCCCCATAGGGGGTGGGGGGGTGAAGGAGGCGCTGACGTCACCCCCCCCCCCCCCCCCCAATAGCGCGTTGGGATTGGCTGACGGAGCAGGGGGCGTGGCCGCCGTCACCGTCTACAACGCGGCTCCTGATTGGACGGTGGCCGTGGGAGACAGCGTGGTCGTGCCCCGGCCCTGCCTCAAGCAGCACCTGCACCAGCACCAAGGGCAGGTCAGTGGGGCGCTATGGGGCACTATGGGGTGCTATGGGGTCTCTATGGGGCTCTATGGGGTGTCTATGGGGCACTATGGGGTGTTTATGGGAGCTCTATGGGGCGCTATGGGGTGTCTATGGGGCGCTATGGGGTGTTTATAGGGCTCTATGGGGTGTTTATGGGAGCTCTATGGCGTGTCTATGGGGTCTCTATGGGTCCCTATGGGTCTCTATGGGGTCTCTGTGGGTCCCTATGGGTCTCTATGGGTCTCTGTGGGTCCCTATGGGTCTCTATGGGTCTCTATGGGGTCTCTATGGGTCTCTATGGGTCTCTATGGGGTCTCTATGGGGTCTCTATGGGTCTCTATGGGGTCCCTATGGGTCTCTATGGGGTCTCTATGGGGTCTCTATGGGTCTCTATGGGTCTCTATGGGTCTCTATGGGGTCTCTATGGGTCTCTATGGGTCTCTATGGGGTCTCTATGGGTCCCTATGGGTCTCTATGGGGTCTCTATGGGTCTCTATGGGGTCTCTATGGGTCTCTATGGGGTGTCTATGGGTCCCTATGGGTCTCTATGGGTCCCTATGGGTCTCTATGGGTCTCTATGGGGTCCCTATGGGTCCCTATGGGTCCCTATGGGGTCTCTATGGGTCTCTATGGGTCTCTATGGGGTCTCTATGGGTCTCTATGGGATCCCTATGGGTCTCTATGGGGTCTCTATGGGTCCCTATGGGTCTCTATGGGTCTCTATGGGTCCCTATGGGTCTCTCCCCTCCCCCCACAGACGTTTTCCTTCCTGGGGGTCCGCGTCCCCTCCCCCCTCTCCCTGCTCGTCAACGGCCGCGCCCCTCCCCCCTCGGCCCTGGCCCCCGCCCGCCTCCTGCTGAGGGCGGACCCCGCCCAGGCCACGCCCCCCGAGCCCTGAGCCAATCAGAGCCCGCGGAGGGAGGCGCCATCTTGGATCCACCAATGGGGGCGGCCATCTTGGATCGCGTAATGGAGGCGGCCATCTTGGATCCACCAATGGGGGCGGCCATGTTGGATCAACCAATGGAGGCAGCCATATTGGATCCACCAATGGGGGTGGCCATCTTGGATCCACCATGGGGGCGGCCATATTGGATCCATTAATGGGGGCGGCCATATTGGATCAACCAATGGAGGCAGCCATCTTGGATCCACCAATGGGGGCGGCCATCTTGGATCCAACATGGAGGCAGCCATTTTGGATTGAGTAATGGAGGCGGCCATCCACCAATGGGAGCAGCCATCTTGGATCCATTAATGGAGGCAGCCATATTGGATCAAGACATGGAGGCGGCCATATTGGGGTGGGGGGGGGCGGGTTGTACATCAATAAAGCAGCCAATGGGAAGGGGTGTGGGGGGTCAATGGCGGGCGCCATGTTGGGAGGGGTGGGGCAGAACATGTGGGCGGCCATCTTGGATGATGGCGTCAACGTGGAGGCCGCCATATTGGATCTTGGTTTCCCCATGGAGGCTGCCATATTGGATGACGGGATGCCATCCATGGGGGCCGCCATCTTGGGGGGGGGAATAAGCGCCCCACGGCGGCCATCTTGGCCCCGTCTCCCATCTGCACGGCGGCAGCCATCTTGGGCGCCAGCGTGCACCACGTGACCGCCACCTGAGGGCGCACTCCCCCACGCGTGGGCGCCGCCATCTTGGATTCGCCCATGGGGGCGGCCATCTTGTTCCCCATCGCTCCTCCCGTGGCGGCCGCCATCTTGGATTCACCCATGGGGGCCGCCATCTTGTCCTCCTCCAAGATGGCCGCCACGAAGCCGGGGCTCAGCGCCTGTTATGGGGCAGGGCAATGGGGATCAATGGGGCTCAATAAAGGGGGATCCCCCCCCCCCCCCCCGATCTGCCCCACACTTATGGGTCCCACCTGCCGGAGTAAATGGGGGTCCTGAAGCAGCGATGGGGGCAGAGGCCGCCCCCTTTCCTCTTCCTCCTCCTCCTCCTCTTCCTCTGCCCCACATCCATGGGGCAGCCCCAGCGCCGCCATCGCGGCCTCGTACTCGAGGTAGGCCCCAGGGGGCAGTGAGGAGCTGCCGCGGAGCATCATGGGAGTGAAGGGGGGGACGGGACAGGAAGTGACGTCACCGAAAGGGAGCGGTTGGGGGCGGGCTCTATGGGGCTGTATGGGGCTTTATTGGGGCTCTATGGGGTTCTATGGGGGCTTTATGGGGTCTTTATAGGGCTCTAGGGGGTCTCTATGGGGTCTCTATGGGGCTCTATGGGATTATGGGGGTCTCTATGGGTCCTCTATGGGGCTCTAGGGGGTCCCTATGGGGCTCTAGGGGTCCTCTGTGGGTCTCTATTAAACTTTATGGGGTCTCTATGGGTCCTCTATGGGGCTCTGTGGGGCTCTATGGGACTTATTGGGGTCTCTATGGGGTTCTATGGGATTATGGGGGTTCTATGGGTCCTCTATGGGGCTCTAGGGGGTCCCTATGGGGCTCTATGGGGTCTCTATGGGGTCTCTATGGGTCTCTATGGGATTATGGGGGCTCTATGGGTCCTCTATGGGGCTCTAGGGGGTCCCTATGGGGCTCTGTGGGGCTCTATGGGGTCCCTGTGAGGCTCTATGGGGCTCTATGGGGTCTCTATGGGTCCTCTATGGGGCTCTAGGGGGTCCCTATGGGGTCTCTATGGGTCCTCTATGGGGCTCTGTGGGGCTCTATGGGGGCTCTAGGGGGTCCCTGTGGGGCTCTATGGGACTTATTGGGGTCTCTATGGGGTTCTATGGGATTATGGGGGTTCTATGGGTCCTCTATGGGGCTCTAGGGGGTCCCTATGGGGTCCCTGTGGGTCTCTATAGGACTTTATGGGGTCTCTATGGGATTATGGGGGTTCTATGGGTCCTCTATGGGGTCTCTATGGGGTCCCTATGGGGCTCTGTGGGGTCCCTATGGGGTCTCTATGGGTCCTCTATGGGGCTCTAAGGAGCCAATGGGCGGAGGGGCTGAAAAAGCACGGAAATGCCTCAAAAACGGGTGAAAATCGAAGCTGAAAATGGAGAATTTTCAGAAAAACGAACGAAAAATGCACGAAAATTCAAACTGAAAATTGAAATTGGGAAATTTTGAGTTCATAAATGGGAATTTGGAGGAAAATGAAAATGAATGAAAAATGTTTGAAAATTTAAATGGAAATTTTAAATCGACGATGTGCCTAGAAATTTAAAATTTAAATTACAAATTGTAATTGAAAATTTAAATTTAAAATTAAAAATTTAATTTTCAAATAATTAAAATTCTGTTTTCAAGATGGATTTTTAAATTGATAATTTTTGGTTGATGAAATCGGGTGAAAACAAAGGGGAATTGGGCAAAAAAGGTCAAAAATAAATTTATAACGGACGAAAATTCAAATTCTAGGATGAAAATTAAAATTGGAAATTGAAATTTCAAATTTTCAACTAAAAATAAAAATGAGAATGGGGTGAAAAAGAATAAGTGTGAATTAAAAGGATTAAAATTGGAATTAAAATCGAAAAAACTAAAATGAAACTTAAAATTTGAATTGAAATTTATGAAATTTATGAAAATTTTATTAAACCTGAATTGAAATCTCAATTTTTGAAATTGAATTTAAATTTAAAATCTGAAAATGAGAATGGGGTGAGAATGATAAGCATGAATTAAAAGCGGATTAAAATTGGAATTAAAGTCGAAAAAACGAAATACAAAATTAAGTGTAAAATTTAAAATTAAAATTTGAATTTAAAATCTGAATTTAAAATTTAGATTTTTTCTGAGATTTGGATGAAAATAACATTAAAATTCTATTTCTAATTTACATTCTAAAGGTGGGTGAAAATTGGGAAAAATGAAAATTAAAATAGATGAAAATTGAAATTTTAAATTTAAATTTCTAGGAAGTTAAAATTGAAGTGGAAGAAAATTGAAATCTAAAATTTAAATTTTAAACTTTCGAGCTGAAAATTGGGTGAAAATGAAACAAATTCAAAGCAGATTGAAATTGAAATTTAGAAGGAAAATTTAGATAGAAAATTCTTGAAAGTTTAAATTGAACATTAAAATTTAAGATTTAAGTTAAAAATTTAACTGAATAACCCAAAACAACATGAATTAAACCCAAAACATGAATTAAACGCGATATAAAGCGAATCAAACGCGATATAAAACGAATTAAACGCGATTTAAAACGAATTAAACACGATATGAAGTGAATTAAACCCAAACCAACATGAATTAAACCCAAAATAGCATCAATTAAACGCGATATAAATTGAATCATGATATAAAGCGAATTAAACCCAATATAAAGCGAATTAATCGCGATATAAAGTGAATTAAACCCAAAATAACATCAATTAAACGCGATATAAATTGAATTAAACGCGATATAAAGCGAATCAAACGCGATACAGTGAATTAATTGCAATATAAAGTGAATTAATCGCGATATAAAGCTAATCAAACGCGATATAGTGAATTAATCGCGATACAAACTGAATTAAACATGATACAAAGCGAATTAATCGCGATATAAACTGAATTAATTGCGATATAAAGCGAATTAATCCCTATATAAAGCAAATTAATCGCGATATAAACCTAATTAATCGCGATATAAAACGACTTAATCGCGATATAAAGTGAATTAATCGCGATATAAAGTGAATTAATTGCGATATAAAGTGAATTAATCGCGATATAAAGTGAATTAATCGCGATATAAAGTGACTTAATCGCTATATAAAGCTAATCAATCGCGATATAAACCTAGTTAATCGCGATATAAAGTGAATTAATCGCGATATAAAGTGAATTAATCGCGATATAAAGTGAATTAATCGCGATATAAAGCGAATTAATCCCCCTATGACGTCATTCCCCCTCCATCCAAGGCTCCAAAGGCGGCTTTTTGGGTCCAAAAAAGGCGGATTTCGGTTAAAAGAGGAGCTTCGACGGCGCGGCCAATCAGAGCGCGGCGACGGGAGGGAGGGGGGCGGGCCTCAGGGAGCGTCGGCCAATGAGGAGCGAGGGGGCGGGGTCAATGGGGCTGGTCCAGGAGGGGCTGGGCGAAGGCCTGGGTCAGCTGCGGTGGGGCGGAATGGGGGGGGGTTATTATGGGATGGAAGGGGGGGGTATTATGGGATGGAATGGGGGTATTATGGGATGTAAGGGGGGTATTATGGGGTGTAAAGGGGTATTATGGGATGGAAGGGGGGTATTATGGGGTGTAAAGGGGGTATTATGGGATGTAAAGGGGGTATTATGGGGTGTAAAGGGGTATTATGGGGTGGAATGGGGGTATTATGGGATGTAAAGGGGTATTATGGGGTGTAAGGGGGTATTATGGGATGGAATGGGGTATTATGGGGTGGAATGGGGGTATTATGGGATGGAATGGGGTATTATGGGGTGGAATGGGGTATTATGGGATGGAATGGGGTATTATGGGATGGAATGGGGGGTATTATGGGGTGTAATGGGGGTATTATGGGGTGGAATGGGGTATTATGGGGTGGAATGGGGTATTTATGGAGGGTGGGGTATTATGGGATGGAGGGGGGGTATTATGGGGTGGAGGGGGGGTATTATGGGGTGTAAAGGGGTATTATGGGATGTAAAGGGGTATTATGGGGTGTAAGGGGGGTATTATGGGGTGTAAAGGAGGTATGATGGGGTTATTATGGGGTGTAATGGGGTTGAATGGGGTTATTATGGGATGTACTGGGGTTATTATGGGATATAATGGGTTATAATGGGGTTATTATGGGATATAATGGGTTATAATGGGGTTATTATGGGATGTAATGGGGTTATAATGGGGTTTAAGGGGGGTAATGGGGTTTAATGGGGTTCAATGGGGTTATTATGGGATGCCGGCCCCCACCTGGATGCAGATCCCTGCTCCGGGGTCCTCTCCCAGCTCCAGGCTCACGCTCGCCTCCGGCCGTGGGGCCCCTTCCCGGTGCTCCCGAACCTCTGGGGTGGGGGGAAATGGGGGTCCCAATGCACCCCAATGGGTCCCAATGCACCCCAATGCACCCCAATGGACCCCAATGGACCCCAATGGACCCCAATGCACCCCAATGGACCCCAATGCACCCCAATGGGTCCCAATGCACCCCAATGGGTCCCAATGCATCCCAATGGACCCCAATGCACCCCAATGGGTCCCAATGCACCCCAATGGACCCCAATGAACCCAATGGTCCCAATGGGTCCCAATGGACCCAATGCACCCCAATGGGTCCCAATGACCCCCAATGAACCCAATGCACCCCAATGGACCCCAATGGAACCCAATGGACCCCAATGAACCCAATGCACCCCAATGCACCCCAATGGGTCCCAATGGGTCCCAATGCACCCCAATGGACCCCAATGAACCCAATGCACCCCAATGCACCCCAATGGACCCCAATGGCCCCCAATGCACCCCAATGCACCCCAATGCACCCCAATGAACCCCAATGGACCCCAATGGACCCCAATGGACCCCAATGGACCCCAATGCACCCCAATGGACCCCAATGCACCCCAATGCACCCCAATGCACCCCAATGCACCCCAATGGACCCCAATGCACCCCAATGCACCCCAATGGACCCCAATGGACCCAATGCACCCCAATGGACCCAATGCATCCCAATGGGTCCCAATGCACCCCAATGCACTCCAATGCACCCCAATGGGACCCAATGCACCCCAATGCACCCCAATGCACCCCAATGTCTCTCACCCCTCCGGAATCGCTCGGCATCGAAGGCCAGCACCACCTCGCCGTGGGGCAGGTTGTGGGGCGCGTGTGGGGCGCGGAGCCTCAGCGCCCCCTGCTGGCCTGGAGGTCCCGGGCGGAGGCGGAGGTAGAGACCCCGCCGGGTGCTGGCTATGAAGAGGCCCAGCCCCACAAGTTGCTGCCCCATAGGGCTATGGGGCGAAGCGGGGGCGAGGAGGAGGCGGGGCAGGAGGAGGTGTCGCCCGGGGGGAGGAGGAGGGAAGTGCAAAGGGAGCCGGAGGCGAGGAGGGAAACCAGGAGGCAGTGGGGGCCTGTGGGGGGAAGAGGGACACATAGGGACACATTGAGACCCATAGAGACCCATAGGGGGGGAGGAGGAGGACCCATTGAGACCCATGCAAAGGGAGCCATAGGGACTCCATAGGGCATAGAGACCCATAGAAACCAGGAGGCAGTGGGGGCCTGTGGGGGGCAAGAGGGACACATAGGGACACATTGAGACACATAGAGACCCATAGGGACCCATAGGGACCCATAGGGAACCATAGGGACCCCATAGAGACCCAAAAGTACCCATAGGGACCCCATAGAGACCCATAGGGACCCATAGGGACACATAGAGACCCCATAGGGACCCATAGGGACACATACAGACCCCATAGAGACCCATAGAGACCCATAGGGACCCATAGAGACCCACAGAGACCCATTGGGACCCCATAGAGACCCATAGAGACCCATAGAGAACCATAAACACCCATAGGGACCCCATAGAGACCCACAGGGACCCATAGAGACCCCATAGAGCCCCATAGAGCCCCATAGAGACCCCATAGAGCCCCATAGAGCCCCATAGAGACCCCATAGAGCCCCATAGAGCCCCATAGAGACCCCATAGAGACCCCATAGAGCCCCATAGAGCCCCATAGAGACCCCATAGAGCCCCATAGAGCCCCATAGAGACCCCATAGAGCCCCATAGAGCCCCATAGAGACCCATAGAGACCCCATAGAGACCCATAGAGACCCCATAGAGACCCCATAGAGCCCCATAGAGACCCCATAGAGACCCATAGAGCCCCCATAGAGACCCCATAGAGACCCCATAGAGAGAGCCCCATAGAGACCCCATAGAGCCCCATAGAGACCCCATAGAGCCCCATAGAGACCCCATAGAGACCCATAGAGACCCATAGAGACCCCATAGAGACCCATAGGGACCCCATAGAGACCCATAGAGCCCCATAGAGACCCCATAGAGACCCATAGTGACCCATAGAGACCCATAGGAACCCCATAGAGACCCCATAGCCCCCATAGAGACCCATAGGGACCCATTGAGACCTTGTAGTGACCCACAGAGACCCCATAGAGACCCCGTACTGACCCATAGAGCCCCATAGAGACCCCATAGAGACCCATAGAGACCCATAGAGCCCCATAGAGACCCATAGAGCCCCATAGAGCCCCCATAGAGCCCCCATAGAGACCCCATAGAGCCCCATAGAGCCCCATAGAGACCCCGAAGAGCCCCATAGAGACCCATAGAGCCCCACAGAGACCCATAGAGACCCCATAGAGCCCCATAGAGCCCCATAGAGCCCCATAGAGCCCCATAGCCCCCCCCCCCCATTGGCCTCACCCTCGGCAGGGGGCAGCGGTTGGGGGCTGCTCAGGGTGAGGGTCACGTGGGGGGGCGGGGCCTGGGTCGCGGAGGGGGCGGGGCCTGGGTCGGAGGCTCCGCCCCCTGCCCCCACCTCCTCCTCCTTCTCCTCGGGGGCGGAGCTTCCGGAGGAGCCAATCAGAGGCGGCGCCTGCGGCTGCTGGGGGCGGGGGCGCTTCCCGCCTGGGGGGGGGGGGAATGAGGCCCCATAGGGACCCATAGAGACCCCATAGAGACCCATAGAGACCCCATAGGGACCCATAGAGACCCATAGAGACCCATAGAGACCCCATAGAGACCCATAGAGACCCCATAGGGACCCATAGAGACCCATAGAGACCCATAGAGACCCCATAGGGACCCATAGAGACCCATAGAGACCCCATAGAGACCCATAGAGACCCATAGAGACCCCATAGGGACCCATAGAGACCCATAGAGACCCCATAGAGACCCCATAGAGACCCATAGAGACCCATAGAGACCCATAGGGACCCATAGAGACCCCATAGAGAGACCCATAGAGACCCATAGAGACCCATAGGGACCCATAGAGACCCCATAGCGACCCATAGGGACCCATAGAGACCCATAGGGACCCATAGAGAGACCCATAGACACCCATAGAGACCCATAGACACTATAGAGACCCATAGAGACCCATAGAGCCCATAGACACTATAGAGACCCATAGAGACCCATAGACCCCATAGAGACCCATAGAGAGACCCATAGAGAGACCCATAGAGACCCATAGAGACCCCATAGAGACCCATAGGGACCCCATAGAGACCCCATAGAGACCCATAGAGACCCATAGAGACCCATAGGGACCCATAGAGACCCATAGAGACCCACAAACACCCCATAGAGACCCCATAGAGACCCCATAGGGACCCATAGAGACCCATAGAGACCCATAGAGCCCCCATAGAGAACCATAGACACCCCTAGGGACCCATAGAGCCCCCACAGACACCCTATAGAGCCCCATAGAAACCAAATAGAGCCCCACAGAGCCCACAGAGCCCCCATAGAAATGCCATAGAGCCCCATACAGACCCCATAGACACCCCATAAAGACCCATAGGCACCCCATAGAGCCCCACAAACACCCCATAGAGACCCACAGACACCCCATAGAAACCCAAAGACACCCCATAAAGACCCACAAACACCCCACAGAGACCCCATAGAGACCCATAGGCACCCCATAGAGCCTGTAGACACCCCATAGAGCCCCACAGAGCCCCCATAGACACCCCATAGAGCCCCATAGACCCCCTATAGAGCCCCCATATAGCCCCACAGACACCCCAGAGACCCCTAAACACCCCACAGACACCCCATAGAGCCCCACAAACACCCCATAGAGGCCCCATAGACACCCAAAGACACCCCATAGAGCCCCATAGAGACCCATAGACACCCCATAGACACCCCATAGAGCCCCATAGAGACCCAAAGACACCCCATAGAGACCTATAGACACCCCATAGACACCCCACAGATGCCCCATAGACACCCCATAGACCCCCATAGACCCCCATAGACCCCCATAGACCCCCCATAGACCCCCATAGACCCCCATATCCCCCCATAGCCCCCATAGACCCCCATAGACACCCCATAGACCCCCCATAGACCCCCCATAGACCCCCATAGACCCCCCATAGACCCCCATAGACCCCCCATAGACACCCCATAGACCCCCCATAGACCCCCATAGACACCCCATAGACACCCCATAGACCCCCCATAGACCCCCATAGACCCCCCATAGACCCCCTTACCTGTGCACCCCGGCTCGGACTTGGGGGGCAGGACCCTATAGACCCTATAGGGGCTGCGTCCGTGGGGCTGGGATCTATGGGGCAGCTCCTGGAACTCGGGGCTCTTATGGAGGGCACAGCGGAGCCGGGACTTCCAAGCACTGGGGTCCGGGGGGGCACCGGGGGGCAGGCGGCCCTTGAACTCAGCCCAGGCCTATGGGGGGCAATGGGGGGCTATGGGGCTATGGGGTGATGGGGGGCAATGGGGGGCTATGGGGTGAGGGGGGGCAATGGGGGGCTATGG